CAGACCTTAGATAGGAGGAGCAAACTAATAAATACTTTTTTAAAAGTCATTTGAGTCCTGATCTGAACAGTAACCCAGCACATTGGTATTAATCCCCACAGTAACCCAGCACATTGGTATTTTCATCCTTATCTTAAAGTGGGGTAAATTGAGTATCAAAGAGGTTTAGTGACTTCCTTAAGATGACATAGTGGTAACCCTAGCCAGTTTGGCTCAGTGGATAGAGTGCTGACCTGTGGACTGAAAGGTCCCAGGTTTGATTCCCTTCAAGGGCACATGCCTGGGATGTGGGCTTGATCCCCAGTAGGGGGCATGCAGGAGGCAACCAATCAGTGATTCTCTCTCATCGATGTTTCATGTTTCTCTCTTCCTCTCTGAAATCAATAAAAAAATATATATTTAAAAAAAATGTTGCCACAGAAGTCCAAAATGGCCCCTTCCAACTTCCTCTTTCCGTTTATAAAAGCAAACCCAGCTTCTTTGTTCTTGGGACTTGCCTATGGTTCCACCATAGTTTGCCTGCCCTCAGTTGAAATTCCTCCGCTATTTCAGAAAAAAACACATTTTGCTGGTAAAATAACTGGGTCTTTGTCTTTTTTAAGGTCAACAGATTAAATGAAACAATGGGTGTAAAGTGCCTGGCAGTACATAGTAGGACTTGGTGAATGGCAGTGATTATTATCTGTATTCAGAATAAACTGTTGCAAGCTCGGCTGGGGGAGGGACAACTATCCCCTCCTCACCCAGTGAAGCTGCTGAAACTCTTCCCCAGATTCAGGAGAGATAGCCGGACTTCTGAATGGAGGAGGATTCTGCAGAAGGATTGCCCCCTCTCTCTCACACTCGCACATGTGTGTGCACACACATTTATGTAGCACTCCAGGTGTTGGTATAGAAACATTGTATTAGGGCAGCAATCACAGTCACACAGAACAATGCTGCAGTGAAGTAGAGGAAAGGAGGCTGCAGCCAAATGAAACCATTAGTCTGGGGCTGGAAAGGGGAGGTGAAGAGGATGGAGTGGTATGGGTGGTGCTGGCAAGGCAAGGCAGAACCACAGCAGGAAGCTGACAGATTAAGTCATGTGGCAGTGTGGATTTCTCCTGTGTACTTTACTTCCCAATTTTACATCTTTCCATTGCACATCACCCACAGAGGCCACTCTGTGCTAAAAGTGGGTAGAAGTGATTGGTTTATTTATTTAATTGACAAACATTTAATCCTACCTACCATATGCCAGGAACTTTCTGGAAGGATAAACAGTTGTTGGATTTAATAGTAGCTGGGAGGGGTGATGTGGGCAGAGGAACTAACATGTCCCAAGCTGTGGTGGAATGAAGCCGGCAGGATGTTACCTTCCAGGAACTATATGTGGTTTGATAAGAGGGAGCATAGGATTCCTGGGAGAAAAGTAGGAGATGAAACTGGAGAGGTAGGATAAGACCAGTTCATAAAGATCCTGAGATGGCACATTAAATGTCTAGATAATTGACTAACCATTTTGGGCGGGAGGAGGGGGCAGGGATTAAACTATTTCATACTAAACACAAAAGTAAATTTCAGAAAGTTTAAAGGTTTGAATATTAAAATACTAAAAGAAGAAATAAGAGACTGTATAATCTTGG